AGAACATCGACCGAAAAAAAAAAAAATCAGAGAAGACCCCGGAGATCGCCAACTCTAAAACGAAGTAAGCACGGAAAAGCGGCCTATCTGGGTCTAGAACCTGGGGTCAGAATCGAAATAGGTTCGAGACCTTACGCTAGAGACTACAGCCCTAGGAGGGCTTCAGAATACAGTATTCTTACAGCTCCATGCCACAAGAAAGAGCGAACCCTCAAATGGGGGCGTAGCAGGCCTAGCCCAAGCGTCTTTAGGTTGGATGGGTGCATGTCCTACCACCTAGCTTCCGGGTGCAAGGTTTTTCACAACACTACTGCTGCCGCCTCCATGCTCAGAGACCAATAATAAAAACCCGAAAGGCCGCCATGCATCATCCACGTCCAACGGTCAACCGTGCTTGCTGGGAATAAACACACACACACGATCCTGGGCTCACCCACCCAACACGCCGTGAGGCGTGGTGAGTTGCTACGAAACACCCGCAAAGGGCGCGGCAAAGCGCCCTCATCATGAAGGCAAGGGAAGACGAAAAGCGTTCTGTTCAAATGAGACATCCGTTTCCTTGTTTCCTTCAAGCCAAATCGAGGTCACGATTGCAGATTGCTCAAGTACCCCACGAGGCACAGGCTATGTTGCACGAGCTGCTTAATCCTCTTCGAGCTGTCCTCCTGCTCGTCCCGAAGTGCTTTCGATGCTTCCCGCAGGTCCGGGGTAGTCATGATGAGGTCTGCGTAGTGCTTGAGGAAGCGGTGCAGGTAGGCCTGGACCACCTCGAAGTTCCGCTTCGATCTGGGGCAGGCAACAACAAAAATGATCGTTGAGGTTTACTGTTGTGCCCCTATCCCAATATTCTAGAAGCCGACTTTACAACAGTTCAGTGCCGCGTTGTTTGGCCCTCAGCCGAATAATCGTTATCCCACCGGAATTCATAAATTGGTTCTCTCAGTTCCGAAAAGAGAAGCTTTCAAGACATTGTCATAGCCGATCCCCCCTACGAAGACCCCTTTTGTTGACACTCGAGGTGTGCGCAGATCCCGGCTGGTGCCTCAAGTACAAGAAATATACTGGAAGGCGAAGACTGTCGCCCAAGACAAACGGGACGGCAACAGAACAACACAATGCTAAATGTTCAACGCAACGAGCTTTATGTTCCCTGGGGGGGAGTGATTGTGAGCTCCGTTGTGTCTCCAATGACTGCTTTGAAGGAGGTTGCAAGAGGAAGGATTTAGGAACCCCGGGAGCGCACTATCCGCAACACCCTGCGGCAGCGGGCAGCCGGTCAGCAGGACGTCTCCCACCCCGCGAAATGCGGTACTGGATGCAATCCTCACCTCACATCTCCACCAACTTTGGTACTTTGAGAACACTTGGGGAATCATTACCCAGCGAGGACACCGCCCACCTTAGCTCTCCCAGAAGAAACTGAACCGCGAGCGCAACCAGATGCACGCCATCCTCATCCCAATCCCCCTGGCAGAGCAGGCTCATCTCCACGTCAACCATGGGCGGTGCCAGCGTCTTGAGGTACGTCATGACAGCGCCAAACGGGTGCTTCTTCTGACACCCTCGCTCTTCCTCCTCTTCGTCGTCCTCCTCGTCCATGCCGTCCGCCGCACGACTACCTTGTTCGCCCTCCAGAAGCAGGTCGGCGAGCTTGCAGCGCGAAGGGCCGCCGCCGCCGAACCTCGCGGAGCTCTTGATCTGCTTGAGAATCTTCGATTTCGGAGCGACAGCACGAGCATCAGCACCAGCCGCCGCGGGCGGCGAGGAACGCTCTTCTTCGGTGCCTACACCCAACTTCCGCTTCCTTCCGACCTCGGCCCCACCCTCCGCAGACGCTGCAGCTGCTGCTGCTGCACCTTCTCCGTTGCCATCGGTGTCGTCATCGTCGTCAGACCAAGCGTCCCCCCCGCCGCCGGATGGCAAGTCCGGGACATCTTCTTCATCCTCGACCCCATCCCCACGAGACACCGCCTCCTCTGCACCCGCCACCCTTGACTTCCCTTCACCCACCGCCGCCGCCGCGGCGAGGGTACCTATTTCCGGAAACGAGGGGGCCACCTCCCCCCCCTTGTGCACGGTCGTGAGGAAAAACGGGGCCGCTTCCGGCTTCTTGGGCGGCTCTATCGGCCGATTCCTCGCCTTCACCACCTCCAGGTTGAACAGGGTTGTCCAGTAGCCCCGCGGCAGGGAGCTCAGGGTGATGGCTTTGGTTCCGCCGGCCTCCGCGCCTTCGGGATCTGCGTCTGCTTCGGCTTGCCAACCCTCGCCTCTATCCCCCCCCAGAGACGCTCTCGCTCCTCTCAAGGCTCTCTTATCCTGGCGGTACTCGCCGTGGAGGGCGGTTGTGGACTGTCCGGGGCCTCCCTCCAGCGCAGTGCTGCGGTTGTCGTGGCCGGATGGAGGCGTTCGTGCCCGGAAAACGGCGGGGAAGGGGACGTCAGGATATGGCATGCACCCCATGTGCTTTCCAAGCACCTCCGCGCCGATGGTCGGTGCGGTGCCGATAGTGGATTTCGGGAAGATTTTCCAGGTTGACTCCTGTACTTGGCACAAGCCCTACATGAACGGCCCACTCTGCTGTTGCCTCTGAAACAAAAACAAGTGCGGTATGTCGACGACTATCGATTGGCCTACACCGCTTATATTAACAATAGATTAAGAAGGAAGGCCTATCGACGTAATCTCCTCGGTCTGCGCTCGTGCCTCTGAGACAACGGCTGCAGTGTATCGAAACGTGCAAATCGTCTGGCCTGCACTGCTTCCGCTGAAACAAGTAGCTGCACCCTATCGTCGGGTCTGCACTGCTTTCCCTTAACCAAGAACAACTGGTGGAGTGAAGGGAGCAAAGTGGTGGCTAAGGTGGCCTTAGCACAGATTCCTTGTGCAATGCCTCGGGTAGGCGATATGTAAGAGGTTTCAATGGCCACTGCAAAACAGCGTGGGAGGCGGCGCCATACTGTACGATTGGTTACCTACTTGTACATCCGAACGACATGAACTCGTGCAATAGAGTCTCGAAGCATTTGTATCGGCCTCACACAATACCGCAAGCCGCGAAAGAGACCGCGAAAACTCCTTCAACGATGCAGCATGACTGTGTAAGCATCACGACCTCTGCTTTTCCCCTACTCCGGCCGTCGGAGAAAAACCGAACAAAAAAAGAACAAAAAGGAAACGGCTTCTCGACTAGGCAGGTTGGGCCATGGCGGGTCATCTGCCATTCTTCCCTGTTCCCCTTGGACGGCCCCTCAAAAGCTCGAACGGGCTCCTTCGTATCTGGACTGCATCTAGGTAACCTAACAACTGACCTGTCTTCCACCAGAGGTGCCGGTTCGTCCATCTTAAACGGAACCGTCGGAATCTTGTCCAGATACACCGGCTGGAAGAAGCTGATGGAAGCGAGGCGCGAAGAGTCCCGTCAAGCGACAGAAGTTCACAGGAATGAAACGGCAGTGGATGTGTGGTTTGTTCAGCAGGGTTTTTCATGGTTTTGAAAATATCTCTTTCGAGCCGAAACGGCTGTGGGGTGCAGCCTTGCTTTGCGTTTCATGAAAGGAGCAGTGCTTCAGACGAACAGTCACGGTGAAACAAACTCACAACCATTCAGCGAAAAGAAAAATAATGGTCGAGAAGGATATATCCGCTCCCATTTCGCTGACAGCTGTGTGAACAAGACAGCTGTGCAAAGAAGCGACCCACAGAACCAACGACCCTTCATTTCCAACGCAAAGAAACACGCTCTCGCAAAGAGAGGAAAGTTTTTCCACGAGGTCCCCCCCTCATCTGTGAGCTAAGGCAGCCCACCAGCGACGACAGGTCTGTTCCACCAAACCAAAAACAAGACGCAAACGAAAAACAACAACAACAACACCAAAAGCAACGACAACAACAACAGCACAAGAAAAACGGACCGACTCTCTAAGAAAGGTTCAACACAGAGAAATAACAGGGATGCATGCACACCAATATCTCCACTACTTGTAGCATTTTCGTGGTCTAGACCCTTCAGACCCATAACGTCACTGCTATACATAAGCTCCTCAATACAGCACAGTCCAAGTACAAAATAGAAATGTAGCATGCTCGCGATCGGGGAGCGTTAAGAATATAACCTCACTGCTGTATGTAAGCTCTTCAAAGCAGCCCCGTCCACCCAAAGGAAAAAAAAAAAAAAGAACACGCGAAACAAATAAAAAAGGATACCTCTGGTCCGCCCAGACGCTGAGCCCCACCCTTCCGTGGTGGCTGGTGCACATGAACTCTCCGGTGGGAGACACGGTGACCCCCGTGACGGCCTTCTTGAACGACATCCAATCCACCGTTCGACCTGTCGGGAGATCCCATATTCTGAGAAGAACGGACGGGACGGGATGGGACAATACGGCATGTGATGGGACGGTACGGTGCGGTACGGGATGGGCCACGACGATGTTGCAAGGGACGATTCCAGGACGCCTCGATCGACAGCAGCTATTAAGACAGCGACGGTGGTGTGGTGTCCTCGTCGCACTCTTCGTGTCACGATGGCAGGCCAAATCTACCGTAGGTCGCCAAGATACCACGCCCCCCGGATCGATTTTCAAAGCTCGATTACTTCGCAACGACGAGGACGTTAACATCAAACATTACGCTGTTGTGTTGCTGCAGAGCAATCGGGATTTGAAAAGAGGTCCAGCGTGAGTGCTATCTTATGCAACCTACGGGTACTTCCGCGCTTTTTGGTGGGCCCCTCTGGTCGATCGAAAGCCATACACCACAGCACCGCAAACTACTCCTCGCCGATTTTTGTAGCTCTTGCACGACAGAACGACATCTATTTTTGCACGAGGCTCGTTTCACCTTATCTCTGTGGGGTGAACTGACATCGACTATGGTACAAGGTTTTAGAGGAGGACTCGTGACTGAGCACGTGCTCTGACCGTGAGTTGTGATTGGTTCACTCTCTTGACTGCCTACTCCTTGGGAGGTGACGAATACTGAATGGTTCATACAAATTGTGGCACGTTTACGCAATGCATACAACCAAACCAGTACAGGCGCCACGCTTTTCCATCCCAGGAAAGTCGCGGTCATTATCCCACGGACAGGGGCAGGCATGAGCCGCCAATCTCAACGGCTTGCCCTAACGCGCGGGGACGCATGTCCCTGCCATCCTCATCTTCTCCGGGGCGGGGGACTAAGCCCACCCCCTTTGGGGTCCCGTGCCATCGAACACGTACTAAACCCTCCCCATACACACAACACGTCAATGTTGTTGGTGGTGGCGATGTTTGTCAGGGGGGAGGGGTGCAGTCGTGGTCCCGATTTAGCGGATGGTTCCGTGTTTAGTGGGATGCCCTGAACAGCGGTTCCAAAATCTCGTGGCACGGCTACACCTCAGCAGTCAAACTGCCTGCCAATCCGGTTCAGCAGTGATGCCCTCAACAGCGGGTTTAACGTTTCGTGACACCATGGACCTTTAAACCGGGACCACAACCGTGCGCATCCGTTGTTCGCCTTGGCATTCGGCTTGCGTTTCCTCGTACGAAACGGAGGGACGACCAGCGTGTCTGGAACTCTCCGGGAATATTCCTAGATTATTGTTGCGGGGCTGCGGACTCGTGTCTTATCTTACCGGACGGTGTGATCCATGGATGACGTCACCAAGCGTCTCGCGTCCGGGGTGAAGCACATGTCGGTGAGGTGGTTCGTGTGCCCCTCCAGCCTCCTCACCAGCTTTCGGGTGGCCAGATCGTAGAGCCGGACGACCATGTCGTCACACGCCAACGCGACGAGCTCTGTATCTCGCACCTATTGTATGCGTTAGGTGTGTTGTGATACGGTCGAGGCAGGTCAGTGGGATCAAAAGATAGAATACAAAGAGAAGAGGAAAGCGCACTGGGTTGGAACCACTTGACAGGGCCAGGCATTGCTGTGGTGGGACATCGTTAAACATAGCATTTGTTTTGAATGAGCCTGTTGCCGCTAGCCAAGACCAGAGACAGAAAGGGAGGGAGGGGGGGGAGACTGACAGCGATAGCGAGAGGGAGAGAGAGAGAGAGAGAGAGAGAGAGAAAGAGAGAGAGAGAGAGAGAGAGAGAGAGAGAGAGAGAGAGAGAGAGAGAGAGAGGGAGGGAGAGAGGGAGGGAGGGAGAGAGGGAGAGAGACACACACAGAAAGAGATAGAGGGAGAGACAGAAGGAGAGCGGCGGAGAGGGAGGGAACACGATGCGCTCGGCTAACGCCATCTGTCTTTTGGGCAAAACTTGGCCGAGCAAAACGCTTTCGGCGCCGGTCGGGACTAAAGCCCGTCTGCGCCTCAAGGCAGCCATTCCGCTGTAAAGTTCAATAGGGCACAGCAGTGTTTTTCAGAAGCGTGGTTCTCCCGCAGAACGAAACAGCTTTTTTTCTCGCATCGTACTTATTCTGGACGCCGGTCTTTCACCAGCCGGGTTCCGTCATACAGACAGACCACAAAGCGGAGAGTAAAATGCTCAAGGAAACCTCTCCGCTCTTGTAGCGAGACGACATTTCGAAGGAAGACGGCGAGTGTCGTACAAGCGAGGACGGCTGTACTTAACAGCGGCGCGGACGACGTACTACCAGGCAGTACTTCCAAACAGCCAAGATGAGACTGGTTCCTCCCCGTGGTGTGGTGTTGTTTTGAACGAGTCGCTCAACCGAAAAGTCCTAACCCTCGCCTTCCCAACGTACATCATCTCCGGCATCTCCGGAGCAAGCATTTTTTCAAAAGCAAGCACCAAGAAAAAAAGAAAAATGGAAGAAAACTCAACGCCGACAAGTCTGAAGGTTTGATTTCGGCATCGGTATCGCACTTGGACAGCGACATTAGCGGCAATGGCGTTGCTTTCCTCATGCTGCACCGTGTGCCGTTCGTGGTACATGCTGAGACCGGGGCCCAGTTTTTGATTGGGCGCGGGTTTGAGCTGCACTGCTAGGCAGTACTTCGAAACAGCCTAGGGTTTGAGCTGCACCGCCGCCGAGGAAACCTTCCCAGTTTAGCATCACATTTGTTTGAAGGAAGACATGCATGAGTGTAGTCAAAGCGAGGACACTTCCAAACAGCCAAGGGTTCGAGCTGCACTGCCGCCGTCATCAAAGTTATTTCCGCTCACCAGCTCGAGCTGCGACACGCCCGAACCCACAGCGACAGCACCGTCCGCCCTCTTCTCCTTGAAGGCCCAGAACACCAGGAGGCCGTCGACCCCCGCCGACACCATGGTCTTGTTGACGGCGTCCACCCCGACTCCGGAAACGGCACCACGGTGCCCCCGCCAGGACCCGGCCTTCGCGCCCGCCCTTACTTTGGCGGCCGCCGCCTCCGTCGCAGCTGCGAAAGAAGTATAAAAAAATAAGCAATGAATTACCAAAATATCACGCCCCCATTTCCGTTCCAAGAAGGTGGTGTGTGCGATACGTACCGTAGATGACACTGGATACAACACCCTGGACCGATTTTCGACGCTTGATTTCTGCACGACGAAGACTATGAACGGATCATTTCACACGTCTCCAAAAAGCTCTCGAGGAGACGGTTCCAACGCCGCCATGATCGGCACCGCCGCCCGCTGTATCTGCTTTGGAGTAATCTAGCTTTCAAAATCGTTCCGAGGGTTGTGATACCTCTTGTCACCTACGGTGACAGTCACGGCCCCCCCGCACGATCTGTGAAGCATAGTTCATCTCGCTGTACAAGTGGTTTCGAGACGCGTTTAGACTCAAACCGTCAGTGGCGCTTGCTTGTCTTTGTTTTCAGCCTCCAATATAGTGTACTTTCAACTGGCCATCTCACCCGTCGCGTCAAAGAGGGAGGTGACAATTGTTGGGAGGTTGCGAATAAAAAAACAAGGGCAACTTGCCTTTCGCATCAATGTCGTACAGAACTACGTGTAGTCCTTGTGCATCCACCAAGAAAGAGCCTGTGCAATAGACCGCCCACAACCAGTAGCACCACCAACACCAACAACAGCAAAGAGCGCACCTATTCTCTTGCTGGAGAAGCCATCAGACGTGATCTTAGCGATGGACCCCGGCTTCATGACGTTAGTCAGGGCCTTCACCGCCTTCGCAGACGGGGTCGCGGACTGGGGGTACGACCCTCTCGGCTGTCCCGACTGCATGTTGTAGCGGAACACGTGGCCGCCCCTCGTGCCCACCAGGCCATAGTTGCCGCAGCCACTGTACGAGCGTTTCATGATGGCACAAATACAGGTCAGCTTGTATTGACGTATAACCGTGTACGCTTGTGCTGACTATACATTTCTGGGTCGTGCTTCTCTCCTTGTGGAATTGTTGCTTGTGTTGCCAGTATAGGAAATATACATACAAACAAATACAGACTACCCGTTCAATATATAACCACAGTCGAAGGAAGGCTTTACTGTGAATGGGGGGAGTACCCCGCCTGATACTGGGCATATCTTGAATCTACTCCATGCCTGTACACTGAATTATGTAATAATGCCTTTGTATTTGTAGCTGGCCTATGACCACGGAAGGCGTCCGTTTCAGTCAGTTGGGACAGGTAATACCCATGGAATACCGCGTTGAACATACTTCGAAACCGATATCACAGGGGAGTTGAAACGGTTTTCAATGCGCAGACAACAAAGCCAACACACGGACCAACCGACCTGATCGCAACCGACGTGGCGAACGTGTTTGGGTCCGGAGGGTGCATCATGGCGTTGCCAGGCCAGTGCTTTTGCCTCAGCACGTGGGTGCCGACGGCACGTTTGGCGTAGCTCCACACGTAGGCATTGCTGTCTTCCTCGTGGCTGACGGACAGAAAACGGTACATCGAACGGCATTCGAATCGTTCAGGGATTGGACTCGTTCAGGGATTGGACTCGTTCAGGGATTGGAACCGTTAAGGGATCGGATAGCAGCCCCAAATGGTGCGTTTGGATATGGCCATGTCGCTATTTACCGCACCGTGTGTATCGAAAGGACAGCTAGACACATGAGGAGGGCGAGGGTGTCAGATACGGTGGGTAGGTCAACACAGCGCGTTGCTGTATCCCTGGCACATGCTGTCGGTGTGATGAAGACCACACCGAAGGTTTGGGGAACATTAGGGTAGTGACAGAGAGAGAGAGAGAGAGAGAGAGAGAGAGAGAGAGAGAGAGAGAAAGGTCGCCATCGCACCCCTGGCAGCAAAAGCAGAAACAACACCATCAACAACGACAACGACGACTACAACAACAGCATACCAGGTGATGATATTGCACCAGTCTCTAGCCCGGGTCTCGCTGGCGGCGAAGCACAACACCGGCCGGAGCTTAAAGTCGTCCTGTGTCGTCACCCGGTGTCGGGTAGCCACCTGCAGCCATGTAAGGGTATTGTGAAAAGGTACGACTAGCTGATTTGGCGTTGTGGGTCATTGTTGGTGATGGTGCTGTTCATGCTCTTGATCGTAATAGGTGACGTGCTGATGGCTAGACCCCGTCCGTCGCTCGCTCGCACGCACGTTTTGCGAAACGCAAGACGACTTCTGACCCACCAGTCTTGGACGCGAGACTGTCAGGCAAACCGAAATGTCGTGCATCCTTGATATCGGCACAAAAGCCTTCAGGGAAGCACACTGACACCGAGTTGAGCAAAAAAGCAGAAAAAAAAAAGCTTCATTCGAGGGATGGAAACTTCATGCGCGCACCTTGGCGAGCGGTTTCTGGGAAACTAATCGACATCGAGCAAAACTAAAACACATGGCATGCACAAACCTTGACGAGCGGCTTCTGGGAAAGTTCCTGGCTCAGGCAATCCCTGACGGTGTGGAAGACCCTGAAAGAACGGTCGGTGCCAGCCGACAGGACACACAGTGCCGTCGCGTCTGCAGACGCACCGGAGGGGACAACGAAAAATAATAAAAAACGGGGGGTGTACTCATAGCGGTGCATGCCGTAGTCGGTAGACCATTGACCTCGCATATCTACAAAGCCGGGACGGAGCACGCCGGGTTCCCACCGGACCAGGCTAACATCGCCAAGCGCGAAGCACCGTGCGGTATTCCGTGAGTCGCAAAACGGAGAGGAGGGGGGTTACCCCACTTGCAACAATGTTCCTTAAGTGAGTTTTGGGCAGGGCAATGCATTGAATTGTTGTGGTTTTGGGCAGGACGTTGTATACTCATTCTTCAAACTGTTGGTTTACGGCAGGACATACAAGCAGAACGCACCAACGTCTACAAGACGAAAACACCAAACAACTGTTCAGACAACCTATACTGTCTCGCGACATCGATGGCGACAGCGACTACACCCCATGCCCGAACCAAGTCGAGACAAGTGCGAGGGCTGGCTTGTGTCTGTCGGTTATAGGTGGCAAGGTGGAAGAGAATCGACGTCTACAGAAAGGCACCTTAGTGCCTGGTGGTCTTAAGTACCAATGTAGGAAGAGAACAGTAAAACTATCTACCTGTAGAGAGAGGCAACAGCTGCCGTTTTGGCTTGAAGTACCAATGTAGGAAGAGAACAGTCTACCTACCATCTGCCTGTACGGCAACAGAGAGAAAAATCCCACATGTGGACTTACCCGCCCCCTCTCCCATGGTGGCGAGAGTGGTGTTGCCGTAGTACCGGACAGCGCGAGGGGGCGCGCGGTGGCCTTCCCTACTCCTCAGGAGCCTGGCCGTCCCGTCTGGAGAGTCGAAAACCCACATCTTGATGCAGTTGTCCGTTCCGCTGCTTACCAGCACCGGCTCCCTGTGGAGAGGACGGCGCGAGACCGCAGCGTCAGCGGGGGGCACGCGAAGGGTATTGGCACCATAACCGGGAAAAATAGGGTCGAGGGAAAAACAAAAAACGCAAGTTATGTCAGCAATACGTGGAGAAACCTCAGCCGGAGGGGGGCACGCGGAGGATAATGACACCCTTCCGGGACGATTAAAGTCCACAGCAGGTAAATGACGTTCAGTTCCACGCCGGGAAACTACCACCCGGGTGGGCGGTCCGGTAGAACCGCCGGTACATCGCCAAAGTATGCGAAACCGCAAAAGTTTACCGTCGTACAGCGTAGCCGCCCCGCCTCTCTCTGCCTACAGCCCGTTACCTACATCAACACTTGCAAGAAACCGAAGGATAGCAAGACGCACGCGTCGAAGCTTCGTTTCCCAAAGCGCGACTTTTCCACAGCAGATCGAGTTGCAGCGACGAAACACGGTGGCGTCGGAACCAACCGTCTCGTCCACAGCTTTCCGAAACGTTTCGTAATGATCAAGGCATCCTCTTCATCGTGAGGAAATCGAGCTTTCAAAATATTGTCTCGGGGGGGTTGACGAGTTGTGTCACCTACGGTAGGTCGGAAGCGCGGCTTGTAATAAAAGTATACTGGTACCAACTAATCTCACCGCAGAGATAGTACGTAGAAAGAAACCTATTTAGGGTTGACCACGGAACGCGTCCGCGTCAGTTGGACCGGTACGGATGTTGGAGGGTACTATGCGGAAAACGGAACGACTTTCAATGTGAAGACAACAACAACAACAACAACAACAACACGGAAAATATACTGGGAGCTCGAACATCCCGGCCGTTAATACTACTACCCCCAAACGTCTCTCAACCCCTGCCCACCTGGGCAAGAACTGCAGCTTGGAGATGCCCCCCTCGTGGGCCCCCATCGTGTGGTGCAGGCGCCGCTCCTTGAGGTCCCACAGGCACACGCGCCCGTCCCCCCCGGCCGAAGCCAGAAGCGGCAGCTCGGCGGCGGCGGAGTCCGTTCTGAAGGACAGGCTGGTCACGCCTACCTCCTGCTTGAAGCTGATCAGCAGCTCGTCGGTCCTGAGGTTGAGCACCTGCCCCACGGTTGTTGTTTCCATCGGGACGGTGGCGGCGGAATGGCAAGACGCGGTGGTACGCGGGAAGCACAGAAAAAATCGGCGGTAAGCATGGAGAATCTTGGTGCCCCGGGTTATTTCCCACGGAACAAGTGGCGGCCGCAATGAGACACGCGGGAGGCAGTAAAATGAGAATATATGGGCCGCAATCAAGGAGCACCTTTGTTGCCCAGCGGTTACTTGCCCCGCGGTTATTTCCCACGGAACAGTGGCGGCGGCAATGAGACAAGCGGGAAGCAGCGAAAAGAGGAGATACCGGGCAAGGGAGCTAGCGATGGCAACGGATGAGGACTAACAGAGAAGCTGCCCAGGATAAAAAGACAGAAAAGGGGGGTCGGCTGTAGCATATAGCGGACGGACGCCATAAGTGTACTGCTGCTGGGAGGATACTAAATTGTCTACACCATGATCGGGAGGTCAAGCAGAACATACAATCGCCGCCCCCAGACGAGAGGGGGACACGCTGAACTATTAACTGCGACGAGGGCCCCTATACAAATCACAATATGCACGATAACCAACACCAGGCACCCCCCCTGGCGAAATTGCAACATGCCAAGCATCGGACACAGATGAAAATAGTTTTCAACAGCCTGCGCCGCAGGTCTAGGCCACAACCAACGCTGCTTTGGAATTGGCCGCACGCGGCCAAGCGCACAGGCGTCGAGAGAAAGCACGCACAACGCTCCAAACCGGAACCAACACCGCTGTCGAATTGGTTCGAACGCGGAGAAGCACTTCGGGGTTGAGAGCAATAACTTTCGGTAGTGGTCTACGGTATTATGCCGATGCGATCCAACCGATTGCACCGGCATTATAGCCGGCAACCCGCATTATTCAGAGTACGAAGCAACTTGATATTCCTTCTGTGCCAGACGATTTTGGCGGCATTGGGCAGGGAAACCGGCATTATTCCGGGACCACTGCTGTACAACGCGCTGCTGCACGGTCATCGACGCGGCTCACCTGTACACGGCCATCACTGAGGCCAACGGCTGCCACGTCCAGGGCGGGGGACGGCTCGATACAGCTCACCGCCGCACCCTTAGGGTCCAAGCTTTGGAAGGAGTGCACCCGCCTGCACAGGGGTTTCGAAAAGGAAAAGCACGCGCATCGTCCACGTTGAACGAAGAGAAAGTGTGGGCACATTTCCACGCAAACATGGGCACATTTCCACGATGACCGAAAAGGGGACAATTTCCTCCGCTCGAGGTTGACGGTTATTCCGTGGGACGTACCGTGTTGGGGACACAGTAGACATGTGGACAAGGTTGCGAGTCTTTTTTCGCACCCACCACCCCTTTACTACATTGTTGCTGTCACATTAGAAGCCGTGCCGTATTCCGCTCACGTATCTTCTGACATCCGTGCTGGTCCAACTGGCCCGGACGCTTTCCGTGCTCACAGGACAACTACAACTCAAATAGGGATGGTTCGCAACGCATGGTAAGAGTGTCTACAATATCTAGAGTGGTGGGGCGTCATCCCAGCAGCCATCAACAGAAATACTTCCTACTAGTGTAATACCCCACGACGACCAACATGCCAACGCGCTTTCGGAAAGCTCTTTTTCGAACGCCGCGGGTTTTCCGCACCGTCACAGGTTTTGCTGCTGAGTGACAGAGCTTCGAAAATCGGTCCAGGGGGAGTGTTATCTTGCGTATGCGACCATCACCTGCCCGTCCTAACGTTCCACAGCTGCAAGGCTCCTCCTTCCGAGCCCACCACGACCTTGTTCAGGTACGTCGGCGGGTGCGCTAGCGCTGTCGGCACGAAGCCCCCCTCCAAGGCCGCGTCGCAGGTCGGCTTGCCCGCGACACCCTCCCCTTCCCCCTGGGGTCCCCCGCGGGGCCCCTTGCTCTTGCCGCCGGGGCGGTGCTTGAGATCCCAAGCCTTGAGGCGGCCCTCCTCGCAGAGAGACACGAGCGTGTTGCCGACGCACAGCAGGAAGCGAACCTGGGCGTGATGTCGCGGTGGGGACGTATACACGCCGATTTAGCATAAACGTTAGGGTGAGGGGGCGAGGAAGGCATGGAGCGCATGTTTCTCCTCGAGCGAAGCGTCGTTGCAGGCGATGGGGCACGGGGGAGGGGGAGTTGTACTCATGTATACGCATGCTGTAGTCGGTACACCATAGCCAGACCTGGCGTCCTTGCAATGCCGAGACGGAGCGATATGCCGGGTTTCTCGTCGACCCAGGCTACTTGCCACAAGGGTGGACCAGAAGCTGGGCACCATTCCCCCTTGCGTTTTCTGAAGGGGGGGAGTTTTGCTGCGTATCCTTTTGAAGGATTTGGGATTGTTTTCGCCATCTCCTGGCCGACAAAGCCGGATTCATCGATAGTTCGGTCTCTGGGGAACACCTGCCGAAGCTACATCACAAGCTTTCCCCACCGCCGTCACCACGATATAGTCGCCAGGAAATCACGGCCAAATGCGACTCCTCATATAGCATGCACCGCACACCCTGGTGTCGAACGCCCAAGGCCTCCACCGGGCGTGTAGGAGGTCTATCTCTAATACTGTACCTCTTTCACCCCCTCATCTTCCCCTGACATTGTATCTCTCTTCTGTTGGATTGATAGTCGCTCCATCTAGTTTACACTGTGCCCGCCTCTTCTATTTCCGTCTTGAACTGTAGACGCTTTCCACCTCTACTATTCACGTCTCCTCTGTTGTTATTATGGTATAGTAGCTCTGTTTCTCTCTCCTCTCTTCCATGTCTAGTTAAACGGCATCCACATCCACTCTTTCCGCCATACGTAGTAAACGCTGTCCACCTCTCCCATTGCATACGCTTTAAACGCAGCCCACCTCTAGTACCTCCGCCTCTACGCAACATGTGCCTCTCTGTGAAAGGTGACAATTAGGAGAGAGTACGAAATTGTTTGTGTTCACATCGAGATGCACAAGTGTTTTCGTTTAGACGAAGACGAGAGGGATGGAAATATATAACGAAATCGGAAGGGAGGAAGGGAGATAACACGAATGTTGTGGGACGATAGTGCCGATGATATCTCCGTCTAAACAAAAACACTTAGCCATATACTGTACCTCTCCATGAGAGCGTCCAACAACATTCGTGTTCTCTCCCTTCCTCCCTTCCGATTTCGTCAAGTCTTTCCATCTCTACTGCCTCCTTCTAAACGAAAACACCCATATACCACGCTGTGAACATGTACACAGTTTTCGTACTATCTCCGTCGAAACAAACACTTTTCTGTTTTCTCGTGTGAACATTCAACCCACAGCAATTTCCGTACTCTCTCACCGTCCCGGGGTGAGAACCGAGGGACCCCGTGCACGACAAGCGCCTCCACCCTAGCACCTCACGCCCAGAACCAACGAAGGTGTGCTCGTTGCCCCACGACTCCAGGCACGTTATCTTCTTGCTCATCGGGGGGGACACGAGAACGACCCTGAGGTGGTCGCATCGATAGATCTGCCGCAAAAGGGAAGTGTACAGCAGCATGGTGCAGCAGCGGTTGGTTCGTTTAGCGACGAGGGGTAAATGGTCATATCGATAGATCTGCCGCAAACCAAAGTGCACGGCAGCATGTTGCAGCAGTGGTTGCTTCATTCAGCGATATCACTCGACAGATCTGCTGCAAACGCAACATGTACGGTGGCAGCAGCGGCAACGGTTGACTCATTTAGCGCCGAGGGGCCACATCGATATCTCTAATGCAAATTATGTACAGGAGCAGTAGCAGCAGCGCTTGATTCACAGTCGAGAGAATTACCAGTTGTATCGATATCGATACATCTGCCGCAGACGAAGTGAACGAACAGTCCGCGCCAGTTGGACCGGCCCAGCTGTGAGAAGATACCGTACCGAACACAGACCCGAGCGGTGATGAAAATGAAGACTAACAACAACAACCAGCAGTCACAACATTGGAACAGCAGCGGTTTATTTGCAGCCACGCACGGAAAGTGGGCAGCGGCAGACAACACGACCGCCTCGGTAGCATGTATGTACCAAGCTTCAACAGCAAAGTTGACACCAGTAGCAGTTGAAATCGGCAGGCGATAATGGGGTAAGGCCTGCTTGGCAGTACGGGCTACGAGTCGCCTGAGGGCCAGGTAGGTTTTGAGAGCGGGATGGAAAGGGCGTCTATGGCACCAAGGCCCGTTCATCCAGGACGTACGCTAGACAGATTCTTGTGTACAGCAGGTTCGTCAGAGACCGAAAGCGAAATGTAGACGATCTACAAGGCAGGAGGCAAGAGGGGCCTCACTCCCGATGCCCTCAGATCGGCACTCTTGTCGAGCACCCAGAGGCTGCTATCGGTCAAGTGTGTGCGGTACCTGATTCAACCTACCGTAGGTTCCACATGGCCTTGACAGGGTTCAGGGTGGTATTTATCTTATACAACCTAAGGTAGGCGTCGATAGTGCAGCAACCGCTGTTGAACCAAAGGCCGCTTTCGTCTATGATGGAGTAACGACCCACCATTGCGCAACAGCGTCCATGATGCAGCTGTACATACATGGTAGGAATCAAGCTATCTACACTTTGTACAGCAGTGTCACGACCCTTTGTTAAGACACAGCAGTGTTCCTAAAACTGAAGACGCCACGGGAGCAACTTAATTGAGTCATTTTCACACACTGAGGGGTCGAGGATGTCTCACTTCCAGCCACTCGGCCGTGCTCGCAAGCAGATCTACTGCTACTGACCAGTGCACATGTGTAGTGCGCTGTGTCCGTAGTCTCAGGAGTCGCCACAGCAACGCGTCCTGTCAAGGAAATGCCTCTAGCAGAGGCTACCCGAGAGAATAAACCGTACGCTGCACTCTGCCTCGCTGCGAAATCGCGTCGCAACAGCAGTAGCAGCTGCTGTAGCGCGCGTTCAAACCGCCAAGCTGATCCAACATCAGGCTACAGCAGTACTCCCAGTCACCTGAAAAGCTCGATCTATGGACACGGCCAGAAAGCATTCGTCTCCTCGCCGGTTAAGTACGAAGGGAAGCCCATCTGTCACCGCCCCTAGGGCCCTGAAAGGATAGAACAGGCGTGACGCTGTAGTCGTAGCCGCCGCTGGTTTGGACGACATCCCCCCCTGCCTGCCGTGTATCCCTCGCTCCTCGCCTTGGCGCAAGTGGCTGTGCGGTGGCTAGGGACATGCGGCGGAATAGCGAGAGGCCCCGCAGAATGCTCCTACATACCCACGACCTCCGCCCGCTGCTCGTGAACTCACGATCGTTGTGCAGGGCACAGCAGGGAGAGAGTACTCTCACAACACACAGCAGTGTGTCCAGGCCTTGCAACAACCGCGTAGTGCAGCTATCTCCTTGAGGCCACACGTACTCGGCATACGTGCGAGCGGAGCAGGGGCTTCGGCCTGCTCGGTCAAGCTGAAAGGTTGCCGGGGTGATCGCTAAGGGGGAGAGCGCTACGAAGCGCAGCAAAGAGAGGGGAGCGGCCAGCGCCTCAAGCAAGCCAAGTGATGGGCGATGTGGCCGACATCCTCGGGCTTGGAGGTCCACCGGCGCCGTCCGGAAGGGCGTCACCCGTGCTAGGTGGTCCGTTGGGCCCCCTCCAAGAAAACAAACGGGGTAAGGGTGGAGCGGCTCCGATCAAGAAGGCCGGCAAGCCCCAGGGTGTCAGCCGGGAGGTTTACGCCTTGCTAGGATCGGAGGGGCTGCCGCCGGAGGTGAGCAGTGCTGGACCCTTGCGGGGTCCTGGATAGGCTAATCGAACTGCTGTTGCTCATGATATTGTCTTTGCGTTTGGTGCGAGTCCGCTTGAAACTCGAACCGTATGTTTGAACCCGGCGGCGTATATCACGCCGCATTTTTAGATCTACAACAGCATGTACGCATGTACTGCTGTACTCCATCCCATTTGATGCCCGTGATTTTGTCATATGGATACGTTTGGACGGTTTTTGAGTCCACTTGTTTAGGCAGTTGAAACTTGAAACGTATCTTGGCAGCCGGGGTTAAATCATGGCGCACAGAACGGGTTTGAATCGCGCCGCATTTATACCTATTTGGCCTTTCGGACCGCGTCCGGTGTGCAAGGGGAGTGGCTGCGCATTCATGTCGCAGGCACAACGTTGTCCTTACTATTTGGGGAGCGCTCAGCGGCGTTTGCTTCGCGTTTGCTCTTTGGACGGCATACCATCAGATTTTGTCAAGTACAAGTTTTCAAAAACTGTTAGCCACAGGGGAGATATCGCTGTGTGCTGCTCGGGAAATCGTGGGAGTACGGGTCTTCGCTGACGCTTTGGCTTCATTACTATTCTATCTTGTTCGTTTCTTAGAGAGATGGATTCGTTGGGTCATATTGAGAAAAACAAACTACCTGCATAGTTTTTGGCGATTTTCTGGCGGTGTTCAGGGCGCAGGAAGCCGCGGTTATTCCAAACGCCGGGAGCTTTGAGAGCTACGTTTGCTTTGCCGTTTGTTTTCCATAAACAACTAAGAACGCCGCCTACTCCGACGCCCACCAGGAAGTGCTACTCTCCCTGTGTCAGCAGTACGTGGTGGCTCCTGCGTAGGGTCGCACTCGTGGCCGATCACCCTTTGAAAAAAAGGCCGGTGAAGTCGCGTGACGCAGATGGAATCGTCAAGTTGCTCATGTTGTAACTCCTACTATTAGCGCCGGCTGGGTGCCCCGCATACAAGGCCGGCCCAATTCTTTGGCACTACGTACGCGGCATTAGGGTTACGGTTGTTGTCAAACCGGCACACTCAAATGTCTTCGTCGTGCTAATGTTGTTATTATTGTTACAAGACGTACATATTGTACAAGGCGATGCATACAAAGACTACCGTTCTAGAGAATACCCAGCGGGTGTTAATATTTCAAAGTCCTTTCAACGACTAGGGAAACGAACCTGCTGGATGCTGGGCTTACTGCTGTTTAATGCTAAAAATCATCTTTGGTTCCACGCGCACGTGTGTGTGAAATGACTCTTTGGGTCGGTCGGCACCCAGGGTCCGGTGTCAAACCCATCGCTCGTGAGGGACGGCAGCCAGCAAGACCCGGCCTCGTCCAAACAGCCCTGCAGCAAGTGGTGAGTCGAAAGGTCGTAACGGCCAAACACACACGCACGATGCGGCTCGGCGTGAACACCAAACGCATCCTCGTGTTCTGCTCTAGCCCGAAACGCTCTTGGGGTGCTCATCGTGGTCGTCGTCCCCGTCGTCTGTTGGAGAAGGTGTTGCGCATGGTTTTGCTCTCGCCGTTGATGTCATTGTTGTTGTTCTTTGTGTAATAAACGTTAAATACCGGCCCGATCTCCACTTAGCATGCCATACCTTGGTTCTTGCTCTCGCTGTCGCTTCTTGTACTTGCTGCAGTTTTGGTGTTGGCATTCTCACAGCTGCTGTTGCTGTCGTTATCATTGTCACGAAGTCGTAGTGTAGTGTTTTCCGGGCGTCGTTGTTTCTCCTGCACTTTTTCTTGGCTAACACGACGTGTTGTTGCCGCGGGGGGGTCCGTCTGTATTGCCGGGGCCTTGCGAATACAGGAAATGGGTCCCGTTTAGTTCTTCAGCACGGTCTGACGGCGCCACGTTCGAGCACTGGCAGAAAGAATCGGACGAAAAGGACAGCGGGGACTACGCTTACGCGAGGTGATGGCAACAAAAGTTGGTGGCGTTGCTGTCATTTTCTAGGGCGTCAGTCCACACGCACCAAACATTTTCCCGAGTGCACCCGTAGGGGGTGCTGTGTTCGTTTGGAACTAGACTGATTATTGTTGATAGGGGAAGAGAATGTAACGTACCCGGCGTCTGTGGACTAGACCCGTGGGTCGTCTGCGTTGGCTGACATGTGCGTGAACTCCGTGCGGGTCAGTCGTTATGTTTCTTTCTGCCGAGGGGTGTTGCGCGAGTAGTGACGGTTTCGCACAAGATAACACTCCCGATGATACAAAACGTTCTTAGGCGTTACAGCATCCTCGGCGGTCCATCAGCTTGATCTGAGAGCGTTTTTACGTGTTAAGTTCATGTTGATTCGAAAACCTTTTGCCACACGGGGCAAAAGTAGATGTTTTGTGGGGGGGATGGCATGTTACGTGTGATGCGGTAGCACGGCGAGGAAAGCGAAGACTGTACTTGTTCTGGTGTGCTTTCCCTGGTATGTCGTGTTGTTGGTCGCATGATGTAAGATACTACGCTCCATGGACCGAGAATCAAAGCTCGATGACTCTGCAGCAACAACAGCTGTGGCGGTGCGGAACATGACGGCATTGGAACGGCCTCGTGGAGAGCATTCCGCAAATGCAATCGTTTGATTGTGGCATCCTCTTCGTCGCGGAATGATGCAGCTTTGAAACCCGACCAAAGGGGAGAGTGCTATCTAACGCGATCTACGGTCTATCGTTCTGCATTATTTGGACATTTGAATTGGAAATGTAGGGTGGGCCTCGCATGTTTGACCCGATGCTGTTGCGCCATGTCTTGTGCAAGTGATATTGGATACCCGGTTTTGCCTTTGTACACTGAAAAGTGTAGTACACGTCTCACCACGAAAAATGGGGGGACTGTCGCCATAGTACCTTGGACGAAAACACATACACACACACAACCCTTTGTACGCCAATGCTCTGCTGTTTTGTTGCTCTAATGCAGATACAACGTCAAGGTAGACATCGACAACCACCTGAGGTACTCCGACGAGGAGTACAAGCAACACCTCACGGTGAGCTGGCGAAAGTGAATGTTTGACTTTGTCGAGGGCTTCGTCCGCCTGTATACGGAGCGCGCCGACGCTCGAGGAATGGCCATCACATTGGATGACTGCTGATGATCATTGTTCCTCAATATTGACGAAATGTGGGCGAATATCCGAACACCCTCGGAGTGAAGGAGTCAAGGCTTGTAGGAAATATACTTTCCAACTTGATCATTGGTGTTGGGATGTAGCCCGCCAGAGAAACAAGGAATGGACCACGGCCATCGTTATGTGTTCTAAGGTGTCGCGATCTGTACCCCTGTTCTGGACACTGGTATTTTCACCGTTCGATATGTTTGGACGAACCACCCGGGCTCATTGGGAGTCGTTTTTTCTTGCTTTTCTTCACCTCCCTGCCGTATTGCTGGTTTCGAACAGTTATCGCGGGAAAATTTCAGCAGCACCTTTCCCTAGTTAACCGTGAGGTCAAGTATTTTGCATGCACAGCATTAGTCGTTTTTGGCTTGCGTGGACGTACCTTGAGAAATACAACAGTGTAAACTGGGCCGTGACTCGAACTGACGTCCGACCGTCATACGGATGCGAGTCCCCCAACTTACCCGTCGGGGCGACCGGCTTCGCACGTTACGCCAACTGAAGGCTCGAATAAACCCAATAGCTAATGGGCACCACTTTGATCTTTGGGGCTTTATAACATTTTCGAGCAAATCGGCGTGTTTATGGCACGACGTGGATCTTTGCGGCTGAAGAAGTGCTTCGAACAAATCGGCGTGTTTTTGGCACGACGTCGATTTTAGCGGCAAAAAAAATTTCTTCGAACGTATACGTCGCGTTTTCGACGCATCTCCATTTTCAGGAAGCCTCGTGGACAAAGCTGGAGACGGACCATCTGGTGGCGATGGCCCTGAAGTACGACCTCCGCTGGCCGGTGATCAAGGACCGTTACAAGTGCACCCCAGACAGACCGGTGCAGGAGTTGCAGCAGCGGTTTTACGACGTCGCCAACAGATTACAGGTGGCCTCTCACACTGTTGTTCACCATTGTGGTTGTGTCTGCTGGTGTGGGCACTCTACCCTCGAGTTGAACTGCGGTGTCCCTGGGACCTGCAGTAAAGCTGTCATGGCGAGGACCAGCATCAGACTAGAGAAGAATTTATTCTTTAACGGTTCTCTGTTGATCGTGCGTTGGTCTGTGACGTTAGCGTTTTCGCTTCGAAACTTGTCACCGTTTATCTGAACGTTCTGATGGTCCCGGGATCAATACGCATACCTGAAGCATGAAGACGAGGTCTTAATGTGAACACCAGAACACCAACCGTCTTGCACGGCAATAGCTCCAGGCAGTGTTGTCTTTGCGTTACTATCTTCACTCATGGGCAGTTTCGGAACGTGTTTCCATCGTGTTCTGTTTGGTGTATTGGATGCGGCAGGCGGTTCGGAGAACAGCGTCAAATGGCGCGGGTGGAGGTTCGCTGTTGACCATGCCCGGACTCACCGCCTTTAACGCCACCCACGAGGCAGAGCGGCGGCAGCAGCTGGAGGTGAGTGCCGTACCGCATTCGACGAGGAAGACACACCCCGGTGATCTCTAGCTTTTGCGTTTCTCAACAAGAAACTATCATAGGGGGTGTTGTGCGGGGTGTGCGTGCCTTGTGCCATCTCATGTGGTGTTTTATGTTTGGATTCACGTGGACCCGCAAACGCACTACCCCCAGGTGCGATATTGCGTTTGCGGGGGTGTCATCTTACGGGAGTGTGGTTGGTTGCTTTGGTGCCGCATACGGTAACCCCAGACACCACTGAACGCCCTGGCTACCGAGCATGTTCTCTTGCAACCTGTACGTGGGGCTGACTATAAGAACACGCTGCGTCGCTGTGGAAGAAGTGCGTGTGTCAGGCTGTGCGTTGAGCAAGCAACTGAGGGACAGTTCACTCGTTAATGTAGCTAGTTTCCCCTGTTTTTGCTACGGCTTCACACCACTGTCGCTATGTATAAGGTCGCAGTTTTTTCGTACCCATTCGGGTGGCTGTATGTCATGCCGTTCGATTTTCGTGAAATGGGGCTTTGGGACACGTTTAAAGACAAAGCAAAACCACACACAAGGAAATGGGCGTCGCACGGACGGGACAAGGTGTTTTGCCGGTTAGTTTTTAACTTTCCGTCGGGATCAACAAGACGAAGGCAGAACGAGTAGGCCATGAAAAGCTAGAAGATAATTACACAACACTCCGTTCTTTCTCGTTAATACGGCCCTATTCCAATGAATTTTTCGTCTTACGGCGGCCGTGACACGATGCGTTCTACGTCGATTTCCTGTCCGGGGAGGTTCAGCTCAGGAAGACGAAGGCAGAACTAGTAAAACAATAAATGAGAACTAGAGATACGAAGGATACGGTCTCATTCCGACACAAGTATCGTCTTAAGGTGGATGGTAAACGATGCTCTCTACTTCGTTCATTTAATGTTTTCTGTGTCGATTTGCCGTCGCGACAGGTCCAGTTCAACAAGACGAGGCAGAACGAAGAGGAGGAGGGCAAGCTGCGGGAGGAGCTCAAGTCCATCGACCAGCAAATCAAGAAGCTGCGGCAGAGCAGCAAGTCGTCCAGCAAGCAGGGTGACGAGATTCAGGCACTGGCGGACGCAAGAAGGTTTGACTTTGTCACGCTTCTCTCGGAAGTACACACTTAATTGTGCGTTGGTCGGTTGCCTCGTAATAGGGAACAAGAAGAGAGGCAATAGCCATCAGAAACCTCCGAAACACAGGGCCCAATACATCCGGGATCGTCTGGAAGCCAGTGCTCCCAACCGATATGAAACCGTCATTGCGGGAGAGATAACATCGACCGGTTCTCCCGCAAGGGTCAGGGTAGCGACACCGAACATTCCTAGTAGCGTTGGGCAGACACGTGTTAGGAATGTTTCTGGCTGTTAACCAGCTGACTACCTCGTGGCCGTGAAGAGTGTCTTTCATGGGATGGTGCTGCCGTGAGCGCGCACGACGATGCGCGCAGCCTCACGTGCACCATTGCGCTACACGCTGCGATGCATGCATGCCCTGTGACGTGGTGTGCATGCAAGCGTGGGAGATTTGGCGGTTGCAAAGGTAGTGCAGCAAGCCATGCAGATGCTGCGTGTGTTGTGTTGAACTTGGGTGTCTACCGCCCGCCCTATCTCCTTCTCGTACCTCCTCCGTTGTTGTTTCGCACTGAAGACCTCGAGACCTTGGCCAAACAGAAGACATCCTCTGCGTTTCTCTATTCCTCGAACACCCCGTGCACCCCTGGGTGATCTTTGCTTTTTTACCCATTTTGGTTCGGTAACCTCAGGAGCATCGGCCATGCACCGCAGCCGGGTCAGCCGTACCTGCTGAGCTACCGGCTCTCGGAGAAGAGTCAAACGCCTTCGCAGCACATCAGTAAAGGACTCCTCAAGAAGGTGAGAGCCGTCGCGGCAACTTTAAGAGCGCGATCGGTATCAATCAGACAATCGGAACCCAACCGTGAAACTTGCAGCAACATTAAAAGACGTAATCAGCATCTATCAGGCGATCGGAACACCATGCCCAAGCTTGAGGCAACCCGAACACATTACAAACATCAATCAGACGATCCCCAAAAATCCCCGGAACTCACAAGTGCTACGTTTGCCGGCTATCTGGGTAAGAAACTCGCAGACAGGGGTGTTGGAAGCCAGCTTCTTGATGGGTTTCCTGGGTGCTGCGTGCGAGTGGGTTCAAGAAAGCAATGCAACATGATACTGCTCGAGCGAAAATGATGGGTGGGATGGCACAAAAAACTACACACCGCCGGGGTCGCCGATTGAATGAAAGCATGGGTATCGGTTTTTGTTCCGGCAAGTACGCTGAAAAATTGGTTTTACATTTGGTTTGTCCGGTAGGTTGGTTGATGCTACTGGTAGTTTTGTCAAAGCACACGCACAAACACGCACACTCTTCAGGGGACCTGGGTTGTGTTTCGCTGACACCTTTTCACTGGCCAGCCGGTTAGCGCGACGTTGATGCTGCTTCCGATCTTGGACCACTATGTATGAATTCCGATTCGAAATCTGCGACGAGAAGGACAAATTGAGCATGTTTTTTGCTACAATATATGTTTTGAGGTGCAGCGTCATGGTCGTTCTGCGTCTGACCCCAGTTGCGGTTGCACCCAATAGCAGCAGGAGTGCACAGGATTACACAGAAATTCTTCACTCCGACAGTTGATCGACGAACCCGAACCCCACAAGGGGTGGTACACAGATGCGCACACAGCGTAGAACGCCCACGTTATCCCGCCGAGTGCCCAATAGAAACGCGCACTTGCTCGTCCATATAATACTAGGAGTAGCACATTCTAAGGCCACACATCTTCTCGGTTGCACCGCGTGAAAAAATAAGTAAGCCCGCGCTTTCTCGTCCGAGCCGTGCCACTGTAGGGTTAGGTGGTACAAACCCGGACCCAAGTATTTTGTCATTTTCGGGACTTTGCTCAACCGAGGAACCGTAATTTTCCCATAATTTTACCCACCCATAATTTTCAACGTCGTGTCACGTTGTCGATACGTGCGCCATTGATCTCCCTGACCCTAAAGAATTCTTGTCGTATTGCGCGTTTTTTCGGAGGTATCCAGAACGGGACACGGGAGTGGCGCCCGAAGTGCTCCGTTCTCCCATGCCCTCCGTAGTCAAAGGTCAACTACCCAATAAGGGCATTGTAGAGTTTATCGTGGGATCGTCGGCTGAGCTAGTTGTTCTTCTCTTACCCAATTTTCCTAGTCTTATGTTCCGTTGTTGTTCTTGTCGGCCGCCCCCTCCCACCTATGCTGGCAGGTATCGGCATTGATGAAGGAGCTGGCGGTGCCGGACAAGACCAAGTGCATGGCCTCTAAGGCCGCCGTTGATCTGCACGACCACCTCAAGCGAGACATGATGACCCTCTTCAGTCTCGAGAAGGTGCTGCAGAAGAAGGTAAAGTGCTGCTTCCGTTGTCGTCGTTGTCCACATCGTTGTGATTGTGACTGCTCTTGTCGTCGTCATGTGGACACTGTTACAATGAGCCGGGGAGCGCGAAGCGTGTTTTTTTTTGTCCCTTCATCCCAGGGGGGAAAAAATGACTAAACATCGGCCTGTTCTAACGCGATGAATGGGCCCAAGTTTGAGTTCCGCCTGATTTCCGGGCGACCGAATGCACCCTCCTTTTCGACCAGAACGAGGTGTATAGAGTGCTGCCTTCTTAGGAGGGAGAAAAATAGATCTCCAATGATGATGATGATTGAAAATGGGTAGATGGAGGTCTTGCCTACAGCAGCAACAGCAGCACAGAGTCAACTTGAGGTGTTTTGGTGCTGTTGACGCAGTTGCCACGTGGAACTCAGAAAGATGTAGGCATGCTGTCTTTCACCGGACACTAACAGGGCGGGGAACTAGAGAAGCAAACAACCGAAGCCGCCTCCTGAGATGTTGACAAACGGTCCATGCGAGGGAAAGGTTAGAGCTTGCCCTGTTTAAACTGTGTACCTGCCGCTTTCCATGCCGCGCTGCCCGATGGGCTCCAATCATCTGGTGTATTGGTTTGTGCCACATTTGTTCTTATTGCCGACGACAGTGATGCTTGGTGCCAATCATTTGGCGGTTTGTTTGTGTTCATCCGCCGTTGTTGCAGAATTCGAAACCAGCGGCGAGCGGATGCACAGTCTTGAAGATGCGCTCGAATATTCCGGATACGTATGTATGCAGTGTATGATAGATTGAAGTGCGGGAGTCTCTGTGCGTGTGTAGTTGCCTGGAAGCGGCGCGCCTCACACAGCTTCGCAGATACAGACTACTGCAGGTGCACAGTCGACCCCGCGCCTCGTACTCCTCCCTTTTACATGTATGATACCAGTAGTGAAAAGTACCCGCCATTGCTATTATAATGGTGCCCTGTTGCACAACAGCCGATGGCGTCGCTTGCTGCACTGTCTTGTGCGTTCCACCTCGTTGCTAACACTCCGCAGGAGGGAGACGTGGCCATGGCGAAGCAATCACCGGAGTTCGCTGCTGGCGTAGGTGAGCACGATGCGGGTTACATATTTCGCGTTTCACATCCCCATCCTTTTCTTCCGTGTGACATGTTGCCGCGATTCAGTACCGTCTTGGATTGAATTTAGAGCAGCGGGATTTCTTGTATTTATTGGTGGTACAAGCAGCCTGTACGACATGGTACGCGATGCAGAGAATAATGGATTCCTGGGTTGGCGTTTCGAGGCCAATGTTCCCTCAACGTCTGTGACTGAACTGGTTCGGAACGAGTTTGGGCGACAAGTGCTTCCAAGGTTCAGGTGGTCCTCGAGTAGATTACCCAACAATTATCATGTGCTTTTGGTGCATATGGACTCGCTTCTGCACCAGATTCCACCCGCCCCCCCAACCAAACGGTGCCGCTGCCACGAGTTTGCGGTTTATTCCGTTGATGGCTCTTTGATATTCGTTTATATCCGGGCTTGTCCCGCATTTCCGCCAGAGTCACGATGCAACCGACAGCAGTAAAACATGTCGCTTTGTTGACAGTCCCGGCTTGAGGCCGAATTGCCCGGGACTACCGCTTCGCTTCGTGACCACAGCGTACGGGTCTCTCTCCTCAGGTATTCCCCTGGCAGCGCGAGCGAACAGCGTCGGCGGTAGACCGGCCTTGGTCGGTGGACAAGCTGCACACGCGAGGTAGGTTGGGCGAGGAGGTGCATACCGTACACCCGACTCGCGTATTTTGGAAGTCTCTTGGGCTGTCCATTCGCTTGTCCCAGCTCACGCGATGATTAATGATTTGTCGGAAATGTCGAAGGTTTTCTCGCAAAGATCAGGCGCGTCAATGGTTGAATCGCGCTAGAGTCGACGGCATTGGTGGGCAGGAAGTTTGTTGGGTGGGTGTCACCCAAACGCCCGGCGCGCGAGCTTGAAATTGGCTGACCCTCCCGAATGTTTCCGTCGTTTGATTTCTAAAGAACGTGGAACTGTCGATGATGAGGATATGTAGCTGATTGCCTCCTGTGATTTGGATTTCACCTACTTCTACTCACTTTTATCATTTACTGAGAAGCAGGCAGACGATATTGCACTACGTCAGTCAAGTGTACTTTAGCGCATTGTCCGTGCGCGTACATACTGATTTTGGACTTTAGTCGGATCTGTTTATTCTCCTGTGTCGGTCCTCCTGTGACAGGTCTGGGGGATCCAGCAGCGGGGGTCATGGGCAAGCGGTGGCACAGAAGCGCAAGTCAGAATCACAGGGAAAACGCCCCCGGCGGTGATTGTGTTGAAACGACAAGCGAACGGTTTCAACGGAAAAAATGAGGCGTGATGCTAGTTGAATCAACAGCGTCGGCATCCTCGGTGCTTGGACACCTTTGCACCGTTGACTCCGGCAATGCTCTGGTAGTAGAGAGAGCGCAACAAGAAAAACACTACAAGACGAGCCAGTTGGATCATCGGTTGATTCAGCGGAGGATAGTCAACTACTTCCGGACGATGTTTCTCCGGTTTCGTCCCGTAACTGGGTTCACGGTGCGCATTACTCGTAGCAGATTGTTTCGCGGCCATCGGGCTGTGCGAGCGCTGATCATTCCCCTCAGGATTGCGTTTCCGCGCCGTTTGGTGTGTGTGGCTTGTGTTTGGTGGCGGGCGCCTGGACCATTCCTTGGCAAGCGCATGGACTACTTCAAGGGGTTGGGCGCCGGTAAGGGGTTGCGTTGCAAGAGACAGATCTGGTACGTGGTGTGGCGTGGTAAGAGTCTGTTGTGGTTGTTGTGTGTCTTCACAGTATGTACCGTTCCGGTCTCTTCTCTGTACCGTCCACTGCGCTTACAGGTCCAACTGAGGTGGACGCCTGCCGTGGTCACAGGTGGACACGCACCCTTTTTTGCCAGAAATTGCTATGCCCGAAAATTGCTACCCATATCTCAAGTAGGCGAGCTCAGAGACGCGGAGAATGTTAGGAGATAACCTTTGTGATTGGTGTATCCCTGGCAATGGCTACTGTGTACTGTGGTAACAGTGTGCAAAGGCTCACAGAGTGACTGTTCCCAAGCTCGGGTCTCTGGGTCTCTGTCGACCAAAAGTCGTGTTTTTTTTCTGTGTCTTTTTTATTCGCATACCCTTCCCCTTGACCGATCGGGTCTCAAAAGCCGATCTCAGCCCACGCTGCGAACCTCCGAGAACTACCAGCAGTTCTGTGTAGCTGAGACGATTTCAAGACCTCTCACTGTTGTTTGAGCAGCGATCGCTTGCTGTGGGGCGAGAACCAGTTTCTCCGTCGACAACATGGATGCGCGCTGACATCAGATCGACCAGATGGACTCGTCGTCGAGGGTCCTCCTTTTAGCTCGTCGCGCCGCGCCAAGCCTGCGTGATGTCCACGCCTATGGGTTGAGGACGGTCCTGGAATCATGGAATAGCGTCTACACATGGTCTGCGCGGTACTTCAACCCAGTCACACAACTACAACACTCGTATCCGCCAAAACTCCACGCAGTCACACAACAACTGCAAGAAATACAAACGGAAAACAAACCGGTAGCGCTATTTACGGGTGTCGTATTATTTACGACACGGCACAAAATGCTTCGAAAGTACATTCTCTAACTACATTCTCTGTGTTCCTCCGGCTCTCAGCAGTCGCGCCGCAAGCCTTCGTTTGTCCCATAGTGACCGGTGGTTGCCGAGATATGGCCCAACGCGATGTCACGGTACCACGTGCGCGGCGTCGTAGTAAGCTTATTTACGACATCGCGCGAAACTTTCCGAAAACACGGCCAACAGGTGCGAAACGACCTTAGCTGTGTTTCCAGGGCCCCCAGTTGTTACTCAAGCCGCCAGTTGGCCAACACCAACGTGGTTCCCGGGATACGCCCAAGAATGTGGCCGCAGCACCACCTCAACGGTGTTGTCAATACGACACCGCGCGAAACGTTCCGAGAACACATCCTATGGGCACAACACCAATTTTGCAATGTTCCCACACCCACCAGGTTTCGCGCGAGTCGTTATTCCGGCCGAAACCATCATGAGGTTCCCGAGATACGCCCCAAGAATGTGGCAACAGCACCACCTCTTTCGCCGGTGTCGTAAATACGATACCGCGCGAAACGTTCCGAGAACACATCCTATGGGCACAACACCAATTTTGCTGTGCTCCCACTCCTACCAGCGTCGTGCAAGTCGTTATTCGGCCGAACCCAACATGAGGTTCCCGAGATACATGTAGTTGCGCTTGACATGCAGACCTACATGTTGCCTTTCGCTCGTTGGCTAACGGCCGGTCATGTTCAGGTAGATGTTCTTGCTCCTGCTACTTCGACGTGTGTTTGCACCGTTAATGTGTGGCACCCCGCACGCATACCGGTCTGTTGGGGTGGTTCAAGTTCCCTTTCAAAAGGCTCGCAGTCTGAAACGGGGAGAAAAACATTTTGGTACTTGATGATGTACCGTCAAGTTTACGAAGCATGTATTGGTTTCGGATGTTGAAGACATCACTTCAGAGACGCGTAGTCGACGGGAACATTGACGGGAACATTGCATATCGAAGATAGTACCGGGCGTCAGACGAACAATCAATCACGTTGGAAATTGGAGCAATCAACGAACACACTCTTGCACACGAACGCGCCAAAAAAAAAATTAGGATATTCGATGTAACCGCACCGTGCCCTATTGATATAACCGACACCACTAGCTCCCCGGAACAGAACGTCTTAACAGGTAGTAGCTGGCAGTGTTGTCCACTCGTACGTTTAGCAGTCCCTGTGCTCCAGCACTGATGATGCTTCAACGTGATCGGGGGCAAACGGAATGTCCTGCGAGCAGCTGCCTTCTCTCGGTGCGCATGCCTCCTCTTCTATACGCACGCAGACATCCTCTTTGGCACATAATAATAAATGCTCACTTCTCATCACCTTCAATAAACAAAAATTTCAGACTCCTCCCCCCTTAGGTTGGATCCATCTGAAATACTCGCTTTTTTTTTCGCAGTGTCTGTGCACGAACTCTTCCTTGACGTATAATATTCACCTGACCTCTGGTGCCTCCCCGTCACTCGCAATAGATTAGATCGCACGCAAATATTGCTAAAGAAAGCAAAGCAACCAACAGTACGAAAACAAAACATCGTAACACACCCATGTACGCGCCGCATAATAATCGGCGAATACGCTCGCTCGAACAGACCAAGGAAAAAAAAATCAGAAAAAAAAATGAGAAAATCCAAAAAAATCCTAACAAAAAGTGGTCAGGCTGCTGGCATTCAGCTAAATACGGCAACCAACCGTACACCCCACACATCTAATAACAGGTTCCACCGAACAAACAACAAGGCTACTGATGCTGAATCGACTAGCATCATATCTTGTCGAAGTAGTCCCTCATGATGCGGTAGGGTACAGCTGGTAGGAGTATATGACCTCGAAAGTGTGTGTGTGTGTTTTATGAATAACATCGACCGCGCTAACCTGCTGACCAATGAATAGACCTCAGTCTCAGTGCGGGTGATAACCAAGAACACTTCTAAATGGGACCCCGTGAGGGGGCGGCATGGGGGAGACTAACCTCTATTCTCCTGATCAAAGACAGAGACGGTAGCAACAGAAGAGGGCTGCTACCTCGCACTCGAGTTCGTTTTGGACGTCATCCTCCTCCTTTCCAACTCTATCGTTCTCATGGTCATTTTCATAGCAACTTCTCGACATTTATTTGCTCTCTAGCCCTGCGTCGTTTGTGGTCGGGATGGTCATCTGGCTCGAAGCTCTTGCTCTCTCTTCCACGCCATGCTTCCCTCCTCGACTGCTGCTTGGTCTGTGTCTTGTCCTCCCGTTCCCTGTCCTCCTCCTTCATCGCTGCCAAACGAGTGCCCGTCATTGCCATCTAGTCGTTTCTAGCTGCACTACAGTACTACATGTACCGAGATCCCAACCTATTGACCGTGGTGGGAACTGATCAAGAAGTAGTCCGTGACGTCTAAAACATCACGAGTTCGCACGGATAGAAAACGAGCCAGCTCGAAGGAAAACCGTTTCAGAATTCTATTGACTTGGCATGAAAAGCCTGTTGGCGAAGCAGGGCTGTTTCGAAGTCGAATTACCCTTGCGAAAGGCTTAATATTCCAGTGGTCGTGTGTGTGTGTGGCGGTGTGCTGTGTGTGCAGTCCTGTGTGTGCAAGCCATATTGAGAACCGGCATTATTCACGGGCCACCAACCCCCCGAGCCGGCATTAGAGAGGGGCCGGCCTCTATAATGTCGGTACAGACAATATACCGGCTTGAAGTTGTGCCAGCCGATCTCACCGGCATTATAGCGGGCAACCGGCATTATTTGACCGGCGTTGACTATTCCGGGCCACCTACTGTAATGTGGAAACGGCAATGCTATTTACGAGACGGTGTCGTAACTAATATTACGACAAGGCACAAAATGCTTCGAAAGTACATTCTCTGTGTTCCTACGGCTCTCAGCAGTCGCGCAACATTCGTTTGTGCCAAACTTTGGACACCGAAAGCCTTGCCTGTGAATATCATCGGCAACAACGAATGAGTGAATTTCGTGAAGACCGTGTTTCCGTGAAGCTCGATTTCTTCAGTGGCATGGTACCACGTGTTTCGGGATATCACAGATCTTTGAAGAACTTTGACTCCTAATGCGACCAACGTGTTGTGCTACCGAGACACAGAGTCTTGTTTCAGATGCATAAAAAGGGCTCTCGACGAGTGACCCTCCTCGAAGTTGACAGTGAAACATATATTGCACAATGACCCTCTGCGATTTACTGCCTCTGATTCGATCAAACACAGGAGATATGCGAGTCGGAGTCGCGACTCGATTATTCCAGACCGGGACGTCTGGCACATACAGCCCTCAACATGAATGTTATGGACAAGAAGGAAGGGGTCAAATTCTCACGAATGGCTACGACAGTGAAACAGCATGTTTGGAAGGGCTCGGGACGCGGTTTCACACCGCAACTTGGGACACCGAAAGCCTGCCTACGAATGTCATCGGCAAGAATGAATGAGTGAACTCCGTGAAAACCGGGCTTCCATGGAGCTTTATTTCTTCAACGACGGCACCAACGTTTTTAGAATGCCACAGAATACGTGCACCACGTTCACTCCCAAGCTCCCAAGTCGACCACCGTGTCGTTCTACTGAAAACGCAGAGTATTGTTTCACATGCATATCGGTTACCTCGACGAGTTACCCTCTTCGAAGCTGACAGCGAAGCATATATTTGGCAACGAGGCCCTGCGATATTATGCCTCTGTTTCGATCAAACCCTGGAGAATATGCATGTCGGGCCGTGGGACACCGAAGTCTTGGCTTTGGAAACGTTTACAAGGTCCACGAGGATGAAAATCTCGAACCAACCTCGTAGAATGTGGGCACAGATTGAGGAGGTTGCATGCAGACGGTTCCTTCTGGTGTCGTCGACGCCAACGTAGCGCATGCCAGATCGATACCGGTATGCCAACGACCACTAAACCAGCGGGGAAAATAGTGGGTAGGGGCAAGAGTTCGGAGGGGCGCGCCGCAGATGGCAATGACACTGTCACCAACGAGGGTGGCATCGACGGCAGTCTGCCGAAAAAGAGCGTGGAGAGGGGGGCAAGCGGGAATGGTAGCACCAAGGGGCAGGATGGCGACAGTGACGGCTGTTCGGCCCAGAAGAGGAGTAGCAGCGATGGCCAGGAGGATCTCGACATTGATGACTACTCGGGGAAGGGTATAGGAGTAGCGGCGATGACCAGGAGGACGACGCACGTGATACCTACTCGGGTAAGAATAGGAGTAGCGGCGATGATCATCACATCTGGGGGCTTACGTTCGACGACAACTTGTACGACAACAAGGGCGTACACCCCGCAGAACGTGCAGAAAGTGTTGCAGAACTCCCAAGGCATTCAATCAACGCTGAGCCTTCGCCACGATGATAGCCAAGAGCAAGGAGAACGTGGACGATATCTTGCGTTTAGTTCCGCTGACCAAGCCCTGGATATACAGACCCAAAGTCGGGGCATACGTCCAGTATGAGCAGACGACCACGAATACAGCGCAGGCCCCCTACAAAGGGAAGCCGAAAATGTTTGACTCGCGAGGAAGACGTCTTGATGTCAAGCGAGAAGAGGAGCGATCGGAGATCGGCTGTACTGCGACACCCGCCAACCCGCGGGGGCGGAAGAACAAAGCCCGGAGATCGACAAGGGTGGAGGATTCGGCCGAAGGTGGACATCGACGGACGAGAAAAAGAACGAAGCCGAAAACGTAGTCGACCCTGGCGTCGTCCCTACAGCGGGAAGGGGTGTCAGGGTCAATCTTTTGCACCTGCACGGATGGCCAGAGGGCAGGTTGTGGGTGGGTTGTGAGCATCCTCAAGGTAGGGGCAGGTTTGTAGAGGGGGGTTGGTAGGAGGCCCCAACCTTGGCCAAACGGCTTGGTTGTACAAGGAAGGACGGATGCGGAAGGTTGGGAGGCAGCCACAACATCAGGCCACACCTACCTCTTGGTTGTGCAAGCACAGATCACACAGGTTGGGAGCCATCCACAACCTTAGGCCAGACCTCCTGGTAGTGAAAGCACCGATGATACAGGTTGGGAGGCGGTCACAACCGAAGGCCATAATCGGTAAAATTAGACCATCCGGCTAGTCAGCGCTGACTTGCCGGATGGTCTAATTTTACCGATTAAAAGATATGCTCAGAGCTCGTTAGCACCCGGCCGGATCACATGGGCTTGAGGCTTTTGCGGCTTAATCACTGGGATTGAGAGTAGGGATCTCCGGGGCGTACCCCTCGCCACCCGCTGCTGCTCTGTCAATGGTAATTCTACGCAAAGAAAAGTGATCCAGCCGGTATTCGAACTCGTGCGGGTATCCTTTAATTCGCGGAACTACTGTACATAGTAGACCATCCGGCTAGTCAGCGCTGACCCTAGCCGGATGGTCTAATTTTACCGATTAGGCCAGACCTCCTGGCTGTAAGATTGTGTCGGTTCGATGGTCCGGGACAGGGTTATCTGGGGGTCATCCCACATTCCCACGGCTCGCCGGGGGTGCCCAGGGGGTCTCCCTGGGGTTCAACATTGTCACCCAGGGATCGAAAGGTAGAGTCGCATTTGTTGGCACGCGTGTTGGAACCCTTGCTGGCAAGGCATAACATCGTCAATTCTCACCTAAATTACTCATTTTCAACACATGATCACTGGTTCACGCGGCATTTGCATCTGTAATGCCCGGGGTTTTAGACTTGTCCACCAAGGACAGGCCTTTGTAGCAACAATATCGCAAACTGTCTTGGGGGTGAACCAGAGGCTGCTTGAAGGAGAAAAGTAGCCGCAGGAAGGGTGTCTCGATATTGATTTCGCAACTCTAGACCGACCGTTGCCCCTCCCCACAGCAGCAGCAGTCCCGACGTTCAAAATTCCAATAATATTCTTGCATGACGTTCCAGGTTTGAGGTCGCTGATTCGCTTCAGCTGGTCTCAAGTGTGTCCGGGGGTGGTTGTCCCACTAACTGCTACCAGCAGGGAGGATGAAGAAAATAACAAATGCAACATATTCCCGCAGGGGAAGATCTTCTTCGTATTGTGTCATGACTTGAATATGCCGAGGATGGGATACCATCACCACCGGCACATATGTATGATCTTTCTTGAACGTCCTCGGCGAACCCAATATGTGTAACTTGGTGTCGCCGTACTGGTACAACTAAGTGTATGGTATTGTTACCGACAAGGCAAACGACGTCAGTGCTGGAGAACGAAAGATAAAACATGTACAGGAACATCCAATGGTTAGCTCCAAGTTCTTGTGAGGTTGACTCAAATTCCCCCATAAGCTTTGTTTGTTTAGGTCACAACCCCACAATGTTTCGGAGACCGAGTTCTTATCGCGTGCTCCGCCGCAAGACTAGCTCAAGATCGTATCTTTGCTGAGGACGAAGGCTCCAGGAGAGCAACGAGTTCCAGCACTACCCGTGTGTTCCTTCAACTGCCGTTGTTGTTGTCAACGTTGTTTATTCGCCGAAACGGTTGCACGTGTTTATGGCGTGTACACAGCACCATGCACCACGCGCAGGAAGCCACCATGTCGGATTGCAGGCGTTCTCAGGAAAGTGTGGGCTAAGGTGACAACACTCTGTAAGTAAGAGATAAACTTCGAACTTCTCCTGTAGGTGCCCTGAAAAATACGGCGATGTTCAAGGCAAGCAACATCACTGTACCGAACGCCCATTTTGGGGACAAAATTCGCAATGTCTCTCACGCCAACTGAGCGTCCGCTGGGTTGACGGAGCTACGCACACTGCTGCACTTCCTAGTTCCCTGTACTTTCCGACTGAGCCACCCCTTGTACTGCCACAAACGCATAAACCTTGCAGGACGCGTACAACGCACAGGCTGGCAGTGCGCGCCTTCGACACCCTCTCATGCCTTCGCGCTGTCAGAGGTGCTCGGGGGGCCAGCGTCACGCCCACACTTCTTCCCTTTGCGGCCGGCAACGAATTTCGTAAACCATGTCGTTACCGTATCTGTGCCCTCATCTTGTTCGCAGCATCTTTGTCAGAGAAACCCTTTTCCACCTGTATTTACAAAGATTCGGGGGCGTTAGCTACTCCAGGTTTTACAGAGTATGGTTTAAGTCTGCCTTTATAAAGTCGCAGAAATCAAAGTCACAGCAGCATCGATCGTCCCAACGAACGCCAAGCCGAACGTTCCCGAACGATTTTAACGGAAAAAAATGGGAGAAAAAAGGCTCAACCCACCTTGATCGCGGCATTCTTGCCGTCCACGCATCTGCCAGCCTGAAGATATCGCCCATAGGTGCTTGTAGACCCCCCATCTCCTGCTCTTTGACAGGCGTTTCCCCGTGGTGAGCTCTCAGATTGAAGCCGCCTTCCCCCCAGTTACCTTTCCTGGACCCCCCCCATACCTGCCAGATTTCACTGAGGCTTCCCCGTTTCCCGCAGCAGGCACCAAAGTTAGGAAGCTTTCCATAGAACCAGCCCGAGGGATGCGACGTACGAGCACCAGAACGTTCGACGTTTGACGTGGTCGTGGTTGTGGGGTTACCAGGAGCGTTGGTCTCGCCGTGAACACCTAACGTGGACGAGGAACCGGCGTTTGCGGGGTCAAGCAACGCATCACCAACATCGCGTTCGGCACCGGACGCGCTGGCCAACGCGCCTAGTAGCCGGTGTGTGGTAGAGGTAGATCGTTCAAGAAGGTCCGTCATATGTTCTACCTGCACCAAACGGTGGACGTTGGTCAGGAGGGCAGCGAACGTTAGTACCATGTGTGCCTTTCACAAACGTTTGGGCACGACAATAGTCATTTCCTAACGATATACACAACAGGATAGTGTGCTGTAAAACTGCTCTGTCCAGGAAATTGCACAAGACGGTGCCCTACGAGTCGGCATCTAGTACGCCGGAACGAAGGGTGGTGTACCCACCTTGGCGTTCAGACGTGAGAGCTCACTGATGGTTGCAGGAGACGCCTTGTAGTGGGGCCGTGACTTGTCATCGGATGGGCGCAGTTGGCGTATCTCGTTCCGTGCAACAGGTGCCCGCTCAAGAAATTCCCGTGAGTTGAACGGAAACCTTTTGAGAAGCCAGTTCTCTGGAAGTTCCTCTTGCAGCTCAACGGCCCCGCGCACAAGCACTAGCCGTAGATACTCAACGGGATCAACCGTGCCTCGTTCAGTCATGTGTCCCTCCCCTCTTTCCTTGCCGTCAAACAGTTGCCGACGTACGTCCATGAAGCGGGGCAAGACATGGTTCACCAAACCGTCGGGCACATCGACATGCTGGCGAGGGTTGTAGTAGGCAGCGGTGGCTGAACTTTCTCCGGGGCCAACGGCACCTGATTGCGACAGGGCGCTCTGTGCGCTCAGCGGACGATACACGAGAGTGGTTGTTCCCAAAGCTCCGCCGTTGATGTCCTTCATGCGCGTTACCGCCTGAGTCTCACCAGGAGGAACCCTGGAGGTGCAATCGAGCATAACATCACGCGGGGATGGGTAGAGTAAACTCGTCATGGGTATATTCCGTGACGACGGGTGATCACCTTATTTTAAGGCACCTGTTTGACATGCCCACCTGTTGCGAGCACCCTCTTGGGTCGCCGAGACGCGGGCCGCGTGGACAACGTGGCCGCCGACACTGTGCTCCTTGTGTAGCCTCTTGACTGCTGCGTACTCGTCTTTCGCGGTATATTCACCTCCGTCAGCGAACGTGAATACGCGCTCCCGGTACCACTTGGTTCTGTCGGTGAAGGTGGGGGACTTCTTCCTTGTTGAGCACGTCAAATCTCCAGAACAACAGTAGAGCGAGGCTAAAGAGCGGGCACAAGATGATTTCGAGGTCCTCCAAGCACATGATTGACCTCGCGCCCCCGTACTTCATGGTCTTTCTTGTCCTGGTCCCCAGGATGGACATATCAAACAGAGACGGCCAAAAGCGGGTCGGTGCGAGAATGTGTTCGAGAGGCTGCTCTACAACATGGCAATTCACAGATATCGATGGTACGCCACACGCAATATCTGACTCGTTCACCTCGAGGAAAACAAGAGGGCTTTCGTGGCAATGGGACCGAGTCTTGGGGTGATTGTTGTCCTTGACGAACTTGCGAAAATCTTCCCGTATGTGGACATCACTCCCTAAAGCACCGAAACACCGGGGAAGAAATATGTCGTAACGGACTGCGTACAAGTATGTACACAGCCGACTATTGCGGTAGACATACTAGAGTTATTGCGTTTCTACTTGGAGCTGTTTATGTGCATAGCCATGCGCCCTTCTCGACAAGGTTTCCATCACCACGGACCTGGCTCTTGATGGACCACGGCTATCGATGCTGCGACGCCGCTCGATGCTGAAGGTTGCGCCGCTCTTGGAAGCGTGAGGCTGCTGACGTACTCAGATTGCCGCTCATCATCGAGAGATTTGGGCGCGCCGTCGCATTCATTGTCACTCGCATCATCCTTCAGCTCACGGTCATGTGCCATTCTGCTGTCACCGCCATCGCTTGCATCCTCTAGAGCTTGCATCCTCTAGAGAAAGGTCACCTTCATCCATGCTGTCTTCTCCTTGGGCCCTGCTTTCAGGCGTTCCCTCGACTCTTCCACCGTTGTCGCCGATCTGTTCCCTACGACATCTACATAGAGCGCTCCCCGTTGCAGACAGCTCCCTGCGCTCCATTATGAGGCAGCGCGTTGCGGCCATCTTGATCCATTCAATCTACACTCGACAGCCTGAAGTACATATATGACGGGTGGAGAGGTCGTGGTAGAACAGATTGCATTATTTTTCAATCCACCCTCTATGAAAGCCGTCAACTCTCTGAGGGTTAGGTAAGGATGGATAGAACGCACCACTGTGGGCTGATGATTGCACAACTTCAACAGTACAATCCCAAGGCTTCCGATCTTAGCTTTCACCCACACCAGACAAGACCGAGAGGGACTATGAGTCCCGTTCACAGCCTTTTGAGTCCCTTTCACAGCCTTCGATGCCAGCACAGCATTGTTTTGCTTATTAACAGGTAAAAAGCCATCGAAGCACGACCATCGTGAGTTGCGTTCGGTTAACGTTCATGTGACTGCAAGTCCGATTCAGTACTGTTCTCAGTTCCCGTCACTTTGCGTGCCGGAAGATCCCCGCGTGCCTCGCTTCAGGGACAAAACAACTTGGTATATGGAGACCAGTATAAAGACAAAAAAAAGAGCCCATCCCAAAAGCACGCATTATAAGGAACAATGCCCACTAGGGTACACATGGTACCGTATACCATGCGGAGTGTCCCTAATGTGGGGCAGGTGTACCTTCCAGATTCAATCTACGTCCTACCAAGGGTACACACACGTGAAAAACAATTGTAAGACACCCACATAGATCCACTAATCGAAAATCGGGGTCGTTGGGGTGTACTACTTACTGTATTAGTCGTGCATGCCGTACATTGACCTCGCATCCCTACAAAGCCGGGACGGAGCACGCCGGGTTCTCGCCGGACCAGGCTCTCACATCACCAAGCGCGAAGCGCCGTGAGGTATTTGGCGAGTCGCATGAAGGGTGAGCTGCATCCTGCTAAGGGTGTTCGGCACCTTGTGCTTACTTCCTTGTGTACGGATGACAGCTGCGTATGACTTAGTTTGTTTTCTGGTGCTTTCACTTCCAGAGACAGTTGTAAGCACTGTGTAACTGCCTCGAGGATGCTTGACCATTATAACACAACGTGGTGCGATCATCCCCCGTTGCGTGGAGTGAGGGTTCTCGACCCCGCACAACATGATCTACTCGAACACCATTCATGGTTGCCGCCATAAAAAAATCAAAGGAAAAAAAAACCCGGTAACCTGGTTGCCGAGTTCACGAAGTGAATTGGCTTGTTTTACAACGTCGTTGCCAAGCGACGAAAACCCAATCCCGATGGCAAACACCGAGGGGGGGGGCTTGTTTTACAACGTCGTTGCCAAGCGACGAAAACCCAACCCCGAAGGCAAACACCGGGGGGGGTGGGGAAACACCGGGGGGGGTGGGGGGGTAGGGGGGGGGGCGGGGACATTATCATGTTATATATCTACTCACAGGATGGTCGTCGTGACGTGATACATTTCTTGCTATTATTATGGGGAAAAAAAAAAAGCTGGCTCGATTTTTGTATTTCTACAGCAGTATGGACCAGACGCCGACTGTACATAGAAGTCGTACGAGTGTCGACTTAGTTGTGCTGTCACAGCATCTTCCACGCACTTCTGGCAGTGCTGGTTTGTTGATTGGAGTCTTGTAGGTCGAGATACAGCCGTGATGTTCTCAGGTTGTGGAGGCCAAAGTGAACCAGAGCAAAAGTGAACCAGAGCAAAAAATTGCATGCATAGCTCGATTGCTGCTGTGTTTTTGCTACAGCAGTAGTATGGACTAGACGCCGGACGGCGTCCGCGTACTACGGCAGCGACCTAACTGGATGGGATACTTCCCGCCACGGCGAACCATAGTACAATGCGATGCAGACATCCGTTCGTGTGTCGTGCGGCTGCCACATGTGTCGACGACAGGTACACGTAGAACTCTCGCCATGTTGTCGTTACCACGCAGGAGAACCCCTCGGAGATCTTCCACATGGTGCTACCACGACAGCAGTACTACTGTACATAGATGTCGTAGGAGAGTGAAGTTGTGCTGTCCGGCATCTGCCGCGCACTCTCCTACCGGTGCTTGCGTCGATTGGAGTCTTGTAGGCCGAAATACAAGAGTGGGTTGGGTTCCCGGGTTGTGGAAGCAAACCTGCCTGCAGCAACAGAGAAGGCGGTGTTCTATGTCCTACGGTATGCCGCTCAACCTATTATTTTTGCGACATGTGGTTACGTATGTCTTTGCCACTGCCGAAAAAGACCGCTGGATCTTTACGCCGTCCATCTTTCGCATTTTTCATTTTACACCGAACGACGCAGGACGGGTCGACCTTCATCATCATTGTTGTTGTGTCCTCACATTAAAAACCGTTCCAATCTCTCTCTACCCAGTACCTTCATATGTCCGTACTTGTGGATTATCTGTTGGAAATTGTGGGAATCCCTTCATTCCGAGAGAGCCATAGGTCGGCATCCGGTCTTTTCTTTTTTGTATGCACTTTTCTTCTTGTGAAGTTTTGACGTTGTGCTTGCCATCGTCGCTTAAGTATTTGTGTCTTCAAACCTTCTCAGCCGGCCTTCAAACTTCTTGTTGATAAGTCTCCTTCGTAACTTCTCCGCGCATGATGAGTCATATGCGGTTATGACCTGCGCTTTGACTTTCACGATGGATATTTTACCTCCCCGTCTTGCAATGGTGAGTACCTGCGTTATACGGAAGGATCGTTCCACGACGCAAACGTCGACGTCTCCTTTTTCTTCTTTTTTTCCTTCGCACTCCTTTCTTGCCGCGGTTTTCACACCGACTTCGAACTTCGAACGTGGGGTGCAATTTCCTCTCTTCGTACCTTCCTCGTCGGCCTCCTCCATCGTTATGTACATAATGTATACCTCGATTTTTCGGCTTTTCGATTCCGATAGACAAAACTACGGACTGACATGTCCCTTTCACCGCCGACGGGACCGCGCGCTCGTCGAGTGCCGAAATTCTTCACCACTTCCTTGCCTCTCCCAACACCGTCCCTTCTTCCCGCCCCTACAAATCATCTCCCCTTCTTCTTCTTCCCTTCCTCCCGGACACTCACCACCATCCGTCCTGGATGTTGGCCCCCAGCCCCATTGGGGGGCGGGGGGCAAATCCTCAACCCTATTACCCATATATCCCCGGGTTTTCCACCGAGGTGTCGGCGCTTGGGGGTCCTTTGGGGGGCGCGGGGGGGAGGCATATACCCATGTGTCCCCGGGTTTTCTGCCGAGGCCTCGGTGCTTTGGCTTCCCGCTCTCGCATGGTGTGCATCACCACTGGCGCTGCTGGCGCTGTGGAGCTGTGGAGATGCCCGAGAGATGGCAGACACCCCGCACACAACAGGGTCATCTTCGCAATCTTCGGATGCATGCCCAAGGAGCAGCCGCTAGTATTATAGCCCGCCAGTCGCCCGTCCGTCTGGTCGATTGGTCCAGCCAAACGTCACCCTACAACAAGACGACCAAGGCTCCGAGTAGATTTGCGAGACTGTGTTATGTTCCCTGTTGTGCAGTGCTAGAGGAGGCGGCAGGGCAAGTTTGCCGGAGGCAAGGTGGTTCAATGTGAAAGCTGGTCAATGACTTGTTCCAATTGGATTGGACTGATTTCGAGCTTTGATTAAGGCTACCATGTACTGTAACTTACAATAGATCTTGCCGTCCAACTCGGGTCGCGTGCTGCGAAGCCGGTGTGCAAATATGAGGTCACCCAAAAGCTAGCCCGCAGTGCCGAAGCTACACATACATACCTATCTATTTACCCAAGGAAATGTTCCGAGAAATCGCACTCCGGCGTGGAGAATGCATTGATTCGGAAATCGGAGATTGAAACGAATATAACAAGACTCATTATTCCGACTGCAGTCGACCCCGAATCACTATTTTAATATATATTTTACTCCGTAATGTATATATATATACTCCGCAATGAATGGTTGTTATATTGGAACACGTCTGTCTATACAGTCCGGTGTGCTGACCCCCGAGCTCAGCTTGTTGAACTGCAGTGGTTGAAAAATACACAATAGTATTGTCTTCGTTTTCATTTTTCATTCACCCAACCAAGGAACGAGAGTTCTGCCGACCTGCTGTGCTTCCTCGGGTCGAAGTGTGAACTCGAACTCGGTGTGCAAAGAAGACGCCACCCAAAAAAGCTAGATGTGCACAAGCTACACCCCTTCTACCTTCTGATACCAAAGGAGTATTCAGAGAACTCGCACGCCGATCGATATCGAGAAGAACGCATTGGGTCGGAAACCGGAAATGGTAGACAGAGTGTTATTCCGACCCTGGCCGACCCCGAATCAGTTTATTTTTCTAGAGATACTCCCTAGTACTAACCACACCACGCATGTGAGCGACATACGAGGTAGAGGCCGCTCTTTTTTTCGTGCAAGAGTCGAATATGACATGATTTTTCGTCACCTGATGAACGCAAGTCATAAACCGAAAAGCTGCAAAGTTATCATATCACATGTTTGTGGAGGTCTGCCGACGCAAGTAGTATTGGTTAACCCATCCGGCTGCACTACAGCAGCTGACTTCGAGTCGTTGTCGATCAATTGTTGTCCCGCGTGTTGTTGCAATTAATTACGTGCCGCAGGCAGAGCGTGTGTGAACACAAGCACGATGCATACCTTCCACACACACCTCCTCCCCCGCGCTGAGCCAGCCCAACCCCAGCAAAACTTCTCTTCCCACCCTGCCCGTTTTGACAGCGGCTTGATTGACTCGAAAGGCTATCACGTAGGACAGCAACAGTGGCACCAGCCTCGAGCAGCGACACAGTAATCAATCATCGTCGACTGGGAGAGGTAAGAGTTTTCGATTTTCCCTCTTAAGATCGTAGTCGTGGGCTTTTGTCCCAAAACCTCGTTGAAGTTTTCCGGGGCGCA